TAATAATAAGAGATACTAACTAAACTAAGATTCGGTTCGGTTCGTTGTGAGACACGTACGTACGTATCGCCGCCGGCCGCGTGCGTCGTCCCCCCCCCCCCCCGCCCCATGGGCCTGGTGGTGAACAAGTAAACAATGTGCATATGTGTATGATAAACAATGTGCATACATGTGTGGTGAACAAGTAAACAACCTGCATACGTGTGTGATAAACAACATTCACAAAGCTATAACAACAGCAGTTACTGGAACAGTGTTTGTTTTCAACTTTACTGCGTTATTACCGATATTTCCCTGTATTTAATAAACAAGTCTTTGAAACCTAATACAGACGCATGAGAGTAAGTAAAATCAAGAAAGTATACTAAGAAATCTATGGAAGTTAACTTAATAGCAAGCTGTACTAAAATGTTATAGGCTCTGTAATATTAAACACAATATGTTTGCTATTTATCGTTTCTGACCCCATTACGGGTAAGCGTGAGATAACGCTAAAAATCGGGGTTTGATGCTGCCGTTGGATGCAAAACAATAGCCCATTGTATATCTTTGCGCTTAATAACAAACAGATTGTTCAATCTCGTAAAAAATAATAAAGATTTTCCTTGAAATATCTTCTTTTGAGATTTTTGACTTATTTATTGTAGATAAAATATATTGATAACTTTATTGCTTGCTTCAGGTAAAGGGAATTTTTTAATGAAGATTTTAAAGATAAAATCTTACAAGTGTTATTTCTGTACCTGAAATCCAATATTTCGATATCGAATTAAATAAATCGTCTTCTACAAACGTATAAATAGTTCCTAATGAGAAACTCATACCTACCAAAGTTTTAGTTTCTGAGAAATTGATCCTCATGGTCTAATACATTACTTGTTGCGAACAATGTATTACTGAGAAACTGATCCTCATGGTCTAATACACTACCCGTTGCGAACAACGTATTACTGAGAAACTGATCCACATAGTCTAATACCTTGTTGCGAACAACGTATAACAGAGAAACTGATCCTCATGGTCTAATACACTACCCGTTGCGAACAGCGTATTACTGAGAAACTGATCCTCATAGTCTAATACACTACCCGTTGCGAACAGCGTATTACTGAGAAACTGATCCTCATGGTCTAATACACTTTTTGCGAACAACGTATTAACTGGCATATTTCTCGTTGCATACGTAGTTACAAGCCGTTTATCGAAGTCTGATTTGCTACTTGTTTTGCAGACAGTTGTAGTCAGTCTTGGAAAAATCATTATTTGTTCCATTTACAAAATGTTTATCACATTCAAAGCTTTAGAGTTTATGAGAGAATATTATTTAAAATTGTACTGCTCTTTGTTTCATAACCAGATGTAATTTGTTTGAACAATTTACCGTGAAATTGAATAAATCTTTTATCAAATATAACTAGTTGCTCATAGAAAAATATATCACTATTCTATATCAAATTATCAGCAGCTTAACATACCACAACATAACTTACAGACAACACTTGGTCCTTCAAGGTTTTTTATACACAACCACACCCAAGAAAAATAAAATTAAACCCATCTTTCATTTTTCAGGATATCATCGATTGTCTCTTCAAACTTCCATAAAGTGCTTGGCTCCACTACTACCTAAAAGGCTTTTCATTTCATAAGCTAATTTCTCTGTTATGAAAATAAAACTGTCTTAATATCTTAACCGGAGATTATCTTGTCTTTTCCAAATTTTATACTTTTGTTCTCTCGTCCTATTGTGCTCAGAATCGGGCACAGCACAAAGAATTCAGGGGCTTTAATCTTATCGATCCCACTGATAACATTGTAAACTCCAATAACATCACATCTTACACTTCTATTCTTAAAACAGTAATAATAATAAGGTAAGAGATTTTAACCTATTTCTGTAAGATAGTCCTTCCATCCCGGTAATTATTTTATTAATCCTCTTCTGAACCCTTTCCAATTAGTCAATATCATGTTTTTAGTTACGGAGACCAAAAACGTACATAGTATTCCAAGAGAGGCCTAACTAACGATTTGTACACAGCATTCCAAAACAGACCTAACTAGTGATTTCTACACAGTGTTCCAAGAGTAACCTAATTAACTATTTGAACATAGTATTCCAAGAGTAGCCTAATTAACGATTTGTACATAGTATTCCAAAAGAGACCTAACTAGTGATTTGTACACAATATTCCAAAAAAGATCTAACAGGTGATTTGTACACAGCCTTTCAAGAGAGGCCTAACTAGTAATTTGTTTAATAATATAATTACCTCTTTAGACTTGTAAAAGGTCCTATAAATACATCCTAAAACTCAATTGGATTTACTACTAGCAACAAATTGACTTACCTACCACTATGACAAAATCCTTTTCTTCAGCCATACTATTAAGCATGTTTTCATCTCTATTAAACGTTTGATGATCAAAATAATGATAACCCAAATTACATTCCAATTTCTATAATAAAGCCATTTTTCAACTATTTGTCAAACTTACCAGTTTAGCTAAGTCCTGTTGTTGTGCCTCAACAACTTCAATACATCTGGAAATACCCAATAGTTTAATGTTATTAGTGTTTCACGTTTCAAACTGCGGTTTATTCAACAAACAGTTACGAATCATTACTCTTAACCTAAATATTTGTTACTTTCAAGTCAGTTGTAAGCACAAACACCATTAATTAGGATATGGTTCTTAGCAAATTACAAGTTCCTTACAACCTGAGATAATATAATCTTCATATCATTTGTAAGTAACTTTCTCGGAATTTCAATTACTTCTTATTTCACATAAAATAACAAGTAATTCGCTGTTTTAATAAATACGATGTGTTTCACGAACAGTCATAGGTAATTTGCTCTTTTGATAGATGCTATGTGTTTCACGAACAGTCGCAGTTTTTGAGAAGTACCGCATATTTCAGAAACATTTGCAAGCATTTGCACATTAAATAAATCGTAGGCCTTTTCAAAGTTAGACTCTTGTTTTCTAGAGCTATTTACACTTTCGAATTATCGTTTATTTTATAGCCAATTTCAAGTAATTCCTCTTTTTCTGCATTGTTATTTATTTCAGACCCATTTTCTTACATTTTATTATACCCTGAATTATCGCTGATTTCAAACCAAGTACTCTGTTACTCTAATTCATTGATTATTCCTATAGTTTGAAACAAAATATATTTCATAACCAGCTACAATTATTTTCGTAGTTTGTTTTATTATTTACATCCAAGTCAACCTTAAGTATTTAATTATATCATTTAATTTTGGATTTCAGAGCCAACTGGGTTATTAATATTAAGAATTGGTTTCAAACAGTTTTTTATGCCGTGAATTATATTTTCTTAGACAGTTACAAACACTTTTAACATTTTGAATTAATTATATTTTTCTCACTCAGTTGCAAATTATTTCTTATGTTATGAACTGGATTTATTACTGAGTGAGGTAGAATCCCTTTGTAAATCTTGCAGTCTTATATTTTAACTACTTTTATTTTGTATTTTATGGTATCTGCCGTCATCTCTAATTTTTAACTACTGACCAGAGGGAAGTCGTCAGCAGCATCCTACCACCCACCATCCGAGCAAAATGGCCTGGCATGGCCAGGTGGTTCGGGAGCTCGACTCGCAATCTGTGGGTCGCGGGTTCGAATCCCCGTCCCACCAAACATGCTCACTCTTTCAGCCGTGGGGGGCGTTATAAAGTGAC